CAACTCACGAAAAGGCTCTTAAGATGGGTCGCTGCGTCGATGAGAAATAGCGAAAAGGCAAAATGCCCCCCCCCCGGCGCCAAGCTGCGCCTCCGCGCGATATTCGCTGACTACCCTGTACACTATCTTTATGCCTCCTGATGGAGATCTGTAGGATTCAAAGCTCTTCACAGGTCATACCATCGTTAAGTAATCCTCAGTGAGAGGCCCAGAATCTTTGAGAAATCCTCAGTGAGAAAGTATTCTAGAATGGAGGATTCGGAGGGGTTCTATTTGACCAACAGATTTGCCGAAAGGGACCTCCACGCGTCATTGATGCGAAGAGCGTCCTAGAAAATGATGAAATTTATCAGAGTCGTACTGAACGGCCACTTCTCCCTGCGCCACCCTGGTTTAATAACGGGCGAACGCACGAGAGCCGTGTGGTGCACTCGATCGACCCTAATGGCTCTTCAAGGAGGGCTCTCCATTCCAGTAAGCTTCTCGGGCGCCACGATGCCTAATAATAGCCAGAAATAAGTGCCTCATCAAAACGAGGGAGAGCCTTCTGCACTCGAAGATTGCGCGTACCCCTCCCCTGGTTAGTCCTGTTTGGGTGCTATTTGCTCGTGATTTTTTGCATGCAGCTTTGTCTAGCCAATGCTTTTTGGCTTCATTCCCATGGCACTCAAGTTGACTCTCAAGAAACATGAACCCTGGACTTTTTTCCCTGAATTTCCCCACGGCAAATGTTTCCATTTCGTGGGAAAGCGGAGTATGTTTTTGAGAGAACCAGAGGATTTTTGGCTTTTGATGACTCACATCTTCATGCATGACATATGGATTTCATTAGAGTGTTTAATGGGACTAGAACAAAGCTGAGGTGAACTCGTCCGGACTTTTTTGGTCTGTTTTCGTGGGCCTTGAAAGCAGTAGTGCTAATAGTTAACAGCTGGTAAAAAAAATCACGGTTGGTAAGGTCTCTTGGGATGGCCTTAGAAACTGGAAACTGTTCGTGTTTCCGTGCGAGAATCGCTAGCTAGGTTTCTTCTGGTTCTCTGTAGGTAGGGTAGGATTCCCCCCCTCCCCCGGTCAGACTGCCCCACAAGATACCCAGATACTGTAGACTGGATACTGTAGATTAGATCAGATACTGTACATTACGCAGCGTTAAAGAAATTGCAAAGCGCGCGAGCGCTCACTGTAGTGTCATCGTCCAAGTTGTACATGAAAAATGCATTTGAAAGCTTTATTTTGGAACTACCTGTAGCTATTCTTCAAGATTTACCTTATAATTCCCTTAGCTAAAAAGTTTCCTTGCTTGCAACCGGCCTCATTCTGTCAGCTACCAGTATGAGTCAGTTCACACTTCTCTCAACCCATTTGTGAGTGACCCGCAGTTCTCCTTTCGCTTCATGAAACCCGTCATCCCTCTGCAATTTGTATCGAACTGAAAATTGGATTTGGACAGCTGTGTTGCCACGGCTCCTCATTGAATTGTATTCAGAAAAGGAATTGTTACTGAGCATTACCATGGGCACATTTCTTCAGTAAATGTCGTCGTTCGGCAATGCTGTAAAGCTCTGAATGGCTTTTGAAAATATGAGAACACAATAAAGTGGCATGGCAACGGAAAGCCAAATCGATACGGGCGCTGTTCTGACATATTACCTGGCACAGTTATGCGGAACAGAGGGGAGAGCAACTTCCTCGGAGATTATGAGTCCAGATTCCCTGAAACTTTTGGGGGTTTCTGTCAATTTGGACTGCTTTCTTTCTGCCTTCCCCTCCCCACCGTCCTCCGAATTTCGCTTTTGATGAAAACAGCCTCCTGAATTGAAAAGCGTAACGGATAGCGCACTCGCCCGGAAAGCGTGAGGTGCGGGTTCGACTCCCGCCTGGGGCACGACTTTTGCCCATAACTCAGCATTCTTGTGATAGCATAATGATAGAAGCTGAGAGCTCTTTAGTGTCCTGGCGTACTTCATCCATCTCTACCTTACCGTACTCTACCCTGAAAAAAATACAGTTTTGTTCACAAGAATGCTGAGTTACTGGCAAAAGTCGAACCCGGGACGGAGACTCAAACCCGCATCTCCCGCTTACCGGGCGGTTGCGTTTCCATTACGCTACCGGGAGTTATCAAAACAAAACAGTCAGAACTGTTTTTGTTCGCTAAATGGTGTGCGGGTGTGTCAAATGGACTAGGTTCGGCCCTGTGCACCAGTGCTTTAACCTGAAAGCTTTCAACAGTGGGTCACTCTCATGTTGGAATTTGGGGTATATTAGGCTTGTCCCACAGCCTTTCACGGAGAAGCCTTGAGAATTGGCTAGCGACCACGCCACGTTGAGAACCTCGATTTACGCTTCAGCATTCCGGCCATGTGAAACAAGACCCTGCTAAGATATGTCGATACCGGTACTTTGCTACATTCATCCAAAGTCCAGTCAGTCTGACTCAGAGGGTTTTGGGCTAGTATTTCTTAAGCTAGTTGACTTGACATGCTGCCCATTTTCTTGGTGCAAATTTCGCGCACGCTAGGCCACCTATAACACCGCTTTTGACGTGTCGCCGAGTGGATCTTCTGCTCTGCATGCTAATCTGCGCTGACTAAGGCGTCGTTGGAACCTGTAGTTATCACGCCATTTGTATGGATGAACTAAAGCTTCATCTTCGACTCCCCAAGCACTGGTGCAGAGCGCTGGTGTCCCGTAAGTGTTCAAAGACCTCTACGAGTGATGCTGTGGTGCGAACATGCTGAAGTTGCTCATTAACATGAAGCGCCTCACACTCATTCTCTATGCTATTGACGAGAATGGGCTTCTCTAGAGCATATTCAGCATCGATTTCAATGCTGCAGTGAAAGCACGCCGATATAGAACACCTGCAAAAACTCTGAAGAATAAAAGTGAAGGGTACTATTTACCCTTTACTGCCCCAACCGTCCAGAATTGAGCCTGTTTTTGACCGACTTTTTTCTCCATGGACAGATTTGGCTTAAATGTTGTCTCCTAAGGTAGGTTTGGCCCCATCGAATAAAGAATATCACATTCGCTCTTGGCGCCGAAAACTTTCTTGTTGCCCCGGCGCACAGGCGCCGGTGATCCGGTAGTATTTTGGCGCCAGCGCCTGTAGCCGTGGCCGCCAGGACGGTTTCGTGTCCAGCCGCATGGATATCGTGTCTAAGAGTCACACTGCCGCATGGGGAAACAGTTTCATGCGAATTCTGTGTGATTTAGGATGCTGTGGCGCAGGCGGCGCCATGAAGTTTCGTGCCGAGCGATTTAGCATACTCATGTTCAGCCGAGTCAAAATACCCTATGGAGCAACATTATTAGTCACTTTTGCCTTAGCCAGAAAAAAGTTTTTCAAAAACTGCCTGTCTTGTAAATTTGGAGCCAGTCAAAGGTAAATAGTGCCAAGTGAAAGGTTTGGCACTTTGCCTCCTAGTGCACTTGTGGTTCTTCCTGGTCCATTTTGTCACCGAGAAGCTTTGCCAGGCTTCGAACGACTGTGTGTCTTTTTATGATCCTCCTGGGAGGGCTGCTTTTGTTGGCAAGTGCTATTCATTGCGAATTTCTCAAGGAACAGGACAAATTCGTGGAAACTGGGGCTCCACGTGAACACTTTCGATGTGATTTCTCGCCTTGTATGGATTCATGGAATGGCATTCCGAAGTCGATATATCTTTTTGATGCGCCATGCGTTTCACTCACACTTAGAACCGCAATGATTTCCGCTCAAACAAGGACCTCTTGGTCCGTGCGCGAGTCAAGCAGTGCCTCTTCCCAGGATATCATCTCCACCTCCGCATTCTCTTGTGCCAGCCCATGTGAATGTCAGTGTTTTTACACTCCCAGACTGGTCTTTCACTATTTAACCCATCTCGAAGAGAAGGAAGGCATATTTCGCCAGAGCAGGAACCGATGCAAGGCTTGGTCTGTACATGGTCCGTGCGCGGTACCTCTTCCCAGGATATCATCTCCGCCTCCGCATTCTTCCCGTATAATGCAATCTATACAGCATCGGCAATGTATGTATTTCATCGCTTCTTAACATAATCGTCAAAAAATGCTGTGAGCGGGGCGTTTCTCAATGTCAGGAAGTTGTAGATGATGGAGGACAGTCCTCTTACAAAAGGGGAAACGGAAAGGGGAATGTGAGCCGCAGTTGCAGTTGAAGAGCAGCGTCAGTGGAGGGGTTGAAGAAGACAACCGTAGATTAAGAGGATTGCGCTGGCAGATCCAGAAGCGTTTTGGCAGATTTAACCCTGTAAAGACCCTGAGAAGTTCCTGAGATGGCCTGAAAAAAGAGAGAACAGAAAAAGGAGAGGAAAAACTGAAAACTTTCGAAGAAAAACGTCACAGAAATTGTTTTTTTTTACTTAAGAGGTTTCAGTCTGTAAATTGTTTTTCACTTTTTACGTATGACGATTTTCAGGAACCCCGTTGGCGAACACGTATATTATATGTAACGAGTGCCGTAAGTGCCTGTCAAAACTACAAAATCTGCCAACAAGTGTGTTGGTGATCTCAAGGGATCAACCACCACCAGGTCTCAGTGCCATATGGTTTCAGACCAGCAACATAGCTGTGCAAGGCATGTGCACACTGACCGATGCGGTTAGTTTTTTGACATAATTGATCTTTTTTCCTTTGAAAGTTTGCCCATGAGGTCTGAATCCTTGGCGAAATTACGCCTCGGATGAATTTTGAACCAGCAAAAATTAGTCGATAACGTTATAACCAGTCAGGGCGGTGCCGAGGACCTGAGTGAGCCCCCTCTGACTGTTCTGCTATACCAGTGCTGATCAGTTGTGATCGATTCAAAATGAAAATAACTAGTGGTGGAACTGCCGTGAGTGGGCCCATCCCACGACTCCTGACACACACCGCCCCGACTGATTGGGGCGATATCAACTGTGGGTTCGGGATTATTTGTTCCCCCATGACGCTACCGTAACCCCACATGAGTTCGAAGAGTGAGTGCATAGTAAAGCAAATGGTCGAATGGTAAAGCTAACAATAAGCTGTGTTTCTCGGCTTTTTGATGGATAATAACCCCGTATCAGAAACGGCAGCAGAAATTATAACCACGGGCTGGCACCAGCGCAATTTTTATCCGGGACTGAAGCGTTTATGCCTAGAAAATGAGGCAGCCGTTGTGATTGTATCCGGTATTGTGGCAAGAAGCGCTGCTAATACAAAAGTTGAGGGCGGGCGCAGTTGGGCAACCAAAAGGAGGGGTGGGCATTTTGCTTTCCGATGTGTCGACCCATCTAGATAGCCTTTTCTCGAGTTGACACGTTCTAGCATGGTGGCTAGACGAGCTTGCTCCAGCTTCACAAGAGTTCACAAGTTTCACCAGAGTGAGACTTGTAAACCGGAAGTAGTGAAGCAGTGAAAGTGCAAATGCCCCCCCACCCGTCACCGAACTGGGCCCAAGTTGAGATACTTCTTAGGCCAATTTTCTATGGGACATGGCACGGAAACGTGAACACTTCGAATGTGAATCGCTTTCTTTGAACTTCTTGCAATTTCATAGTGTATAGGTTCTCATTCATCCTTCGTAGCGTTTTCTCGATGAAAATAGACCCATGTCAAATCGCCCACTCATATGAGCCGCGTTTTCCTTGAAGGCAATGAGTGGGTTACCCTTGAAAGCGCCTAATGGCCTTTTTTTCGGAAAACCATTTTCCTGGGACTGCCTCCTTAGTTGATCAGAAATCTAGCTGTTATTCAATTCAGTCAACCGGAGAAAATCAAAGACCGGAAATCAATTTCACCTGGAATCATTCAATTTCCCCACTGAAGAGAAACCTGCTTAATCGAGCGGCTACGGGCTCATACTATTTGACAACCTCTGCCAAAGTAATTTTGCTGTGGAACTTTCCCCGTTCTAGGAAAATTTTTGAATGAAAAGCTGCGATTACTAGTTCGCTCCCCACGGCCTCTTAGGCCAATGCACTCATCGCGTTTGAGGAGACATTTGAAAGATCTTAATGATCTTAAGCTTGGTGCATCCCATGCTTACGGTTTGGGGGGGGGGAGCCGAACGTACTATTGCAAATGCCTCATTGCCGCCTCTTCGTGTTCCTGTTGTCGTAAAAAAAGAGCG